TAAATTTTTTTTTTAAAAGGCATGTAAGCATAGAATTGTAGCGATACCATCGAATAATCTCCTATTATGATAAATGGTGCGTGCACATCTGATTTCCACCCATATTTTGTTACTACATTGTCCTGGATTTGGTTGCCTTCCACCATACCAATTCTCTTTAAAAGCTAGCTTTGTTTGTTTGTTTGACAAACCTTCTAAGGAACTGAACATGACAGTTGTATTTAATCAGTGTGAATTTCTGGTATATATGGAAGACCTGTGCTACAAAGCACAGCCAGCTCAAAAATCTCAACACATGCTAAATGCAGTGTTTCTGTTTCAAAGCTGAGGGACTTGAAGATGCTGTTGCCAAGGGAAAGGAATGAGATGGGCTGGAGACAATACAGTGAAGTAGTGGTCAACTCCAGTACTTCTATGAGGGTGAGTAGCATGTCGCCAGATCCAACGCTGCTGCAGAGGACTCTCAATCCCAGCAGTGGACAGACATCACACCAGACATCTTGTCTGTACTCTGGTGACAACAGCAGTAGTAGGAGCCAATCTGGTTAACTACAGATTAGGCACAAAGTAGTCTGTTGGACCACAGTCATTCTGCTGTTCTAGATTGTGTCCTACTTTATCCACACCTGGGGCTGGTCTCTTGCAAAAGTCTTCATATTTCCTATAAAAGCCTTCTTGTTTTCTCTGGGCCAAGTTGCAGCACACAGCATTGAGCATGTCTGCACAACTTTGTCAGAATTGTGGTCTCAGCACCCATATGCTGCTGGTCTATGGTATGGTCATATGGTATGGTCTATGGTAACTCACTGTGGCTGAGGATGGAATCTTCAGTGCTGCTGAAGAGAGTCTCAGACATCTAGTGAGCAACAGCACTTTCAAGAAGCTCTACAAAACTCCTAAGCTCCTGCAGCTTGATACCACAAAAACACGTCTACATAAAGAACCCATGAGATAATTTTCAGTGACTGCTAAAACACCCTTGTCAATTCCTCTCTGAGTCCTATTCAGTCGGATTCATGATATGCAGCATGTTCAGATTCTGCTCTCCATTTTTATGATGCAGGGTTTTCAACATGCATTCTAATTAGAAGCTATGCGTCTTTCCACAGTAACAGCCTTAACTTAAACAGCCTAGAAGACATTTACACCCACATTTCCACCATTTACATTCCTGCCTGGCGTACTACTGTGATGGTTTCACCTAAATAGTATTTACTACATGATGCAACTCTCTTGGGTTCCTTTCTCTTTGCTCACTGTCCACTCCAAGTCCACTCAGTACCATTTCTATTTCTACAATTTCTATTTGGTTCGCTTAATGCTGTCCTCCCTCCCAGACAATTCACTACTGATGCGGTTCATTGGGACCCAATGTCTGTCTCAGGAAAGCAATTGGTTTTTAAGAATAACTGGTAACAGACATAGCAATAGGAAGAGACTAAAACATTAAGTGCACCCTCTACCCACCTGCAGAAGTGGTGGTCTGCTTTACTACCCAGTCAGGCTGACAACATCACACAAGGTCCCCAGGGAATTTAACTGCCCTCAAGTAATGCTGGGAGTTATCTGTGACTCTGACACTCAAGCTGTGGCAGTCTAGTGTTGAAAAGTGGATCCTCCAGGAATACGGTATGGTTCTGGTGCTGCCTGCTGACATCTGCCAGCTGAAGATTTGATTCTCAGGAGATGGATGAAGTTTTGAAAGCTGAAGGAGATTTCATTTTTTCTTTCTCCTGCTCAGATAGGAGTAGGTGTGAATTTAAACTGATGGAGACAGGATATTTTTGGCATTGTATTTCTTAGTAATTTATATCAACTACTTGTCCTACTGAATCTACTCTTTCCACTTCATCCTGTTTTATAAAAGAAGTCCATCTTTCTGTCCCTGATAAAACAGCATGCACCTAACAGAAGCCTGAGCATAGTTGTAGAGTTAGCAGTTTGCTGAGGGGGATGAAGTTGATACAGATGTACTGGGGCAGAAAATATTCTCTTCTGAGTTTAAAACTTTTATTTACAAAAGGGAAGGTTATCAATAGAAAAGGCACAACATACCTGTATGTTACCTCAAAATGAACTGGAAAGTATGGGACTGTGGGGCTACTGATCGTGTTGTGTGATCATGTTGTTCAAGAGATGTTAATCAGCCCAACATATTAACATTTTAGCATAGAAAATATACCCTTACTAGGCTTGGTGCAGCAAAGGAAACTGAAAATCAGTGTTTCCTAAGAGGCTCTTTTGTTCTCCATGGAAGAAATAAATTGCCCATTGTTAGTTCCAGTAACCATTCCCAACTAGGCTCAAATACAGAGGGGTAACCAGTTCAGAAAAATTCTTTTTTGAAAGCCTGGTAACAATTCAAGAGAGAATGAGCTCTCTTAGCTTTGGAAGAACAAGAGGTATGAGTTCACCTAATGAGTATAGATTCTTTACAAATGCAGCTGTCCCCTTTATCAAGCTTCTATTAATCACACAGGGATTTTAAGGGGCTTATGTAAGTAAAATCCATCTATTTATGCCCACACACTGGTGGCACTGTTCCCTAGCAGGATTCTCAGATATTTTTTTAATATAAAACTACTTTTGAGGGTCCAGCTGCTGACAACCTTGCCCCTCAGCCATCTACCTCTCAAGAGATTGCCCTGCACAAGGTATCACTTGCAACCAGTCCTTCCTTTCAGTGAGCTAGCTGATAAAAATGTGTCATTCTCCTATAGTACAACTTACTGATTGCCACAGTAGAGGTAACACTGCGTTTGTCATAAAGCCTACACGTTTTTCACCTTGATTTGGGAGAAGGTAGGAAAATACAGAACCTCCTACTAATGAACACTTGTTTTGGCTGCACCTATTTTGCCTTTGATTATGCTGAGTGGAAGAAGGTGGGTAGAAAGTTTCAAAATGCCATGGGCATCAAGCCTAGTACTGGAAAGATTATGAGTCATTCCCTTACACTGTAGTTGCTTCAATATCAATCTAGCACAGAAACAATAAGGCAGCACACTTGGAGATACTACCAACACAGGGAAAGGGCACCATGCCAGTAACATTTCCAATTGCACTGCTGTGATTTTGTGAGTTAGAAAACTGATATTTATAATTATTTTTCCTCTCTGTAGACTAAATTAATTTAACTGATTTAAATGCATTTTGATTTCACTGGAAACTTTGCCTTATCTGGTCTTTACTTTGTAAGTACTGCAGGAGTTGTCAATTCTGATGCCATCATAATGGCAAAAGCTTATTCTTTTCCTCAGTACGCAATCTGATACAGACTGTAATCTTAGAGTAAGCACCAGTGCCTAGACTTGTGTGGTTGCCAAGCTCAGGAGCAAGTACACACAGAGGGTGTATAATGCCTATTGAATTGGTTGGGACTTTTTGTATCTGTTGCTGAGTTCCTTCAATGTCATCTTCAGACTTCGAAGGACTATCCTTTTTCTGGGTCCAGCCTTGTCAGGGTGGCCTCTAAAATGTCTAACAGCTTTAGTTTTATCTAAGAATCAATGAAAAAACCTCTACTGTGTCCAGATACTGTTTGAATCACAGAATATTGAAGTGTTAAAGTACTCCTCTGAAAAAACAGTCCTTAATGTTGACATGTTCATTGGCACTAGTATTGGTCTTTTGTCTTGCTGTTTGACCTTAGTATCAGCTTCCCTGTAACTACTGGAGAGACTGAGAATTACCCTTTTACTACTGACAGTTTTACTATTGAGATGAGGTGACTTTCCCTATTCTCTTGCCAATGTAGCAAGCCCAGATCATAGTTCACAACTTATCAAATGACAGCAAGAACACAGAAACTTCCTTTAGAATTGACAGTCTTGGCTACAGAGAGCTCAGTGCAGCTCACTGTCACTGTCACTGTTTTTAACTCAGGTATTTTTATACAGATTTAGGATGTATGTTGTTATCAATTATCATGTTTACATTTTATATCTGCTTATTCTTCAGTTCTGCGTAAGTTTATTGGTTTTTGGTTGGTTTTTTTTTTTGGCTGGACATGAAAGAGCTTCAATATAAAATGAGTGTGAATGTGATGAAGACCAAATGTGCTGCTACTGCCATTCTGTCATCTAAGAAAGCAATTAAAGCACCCTCCAAACATGCCTAACCTACTGAATTAGGAATGTTGGAGCTGACAGATAAAGTTGGCCACAAAAGACACTACTTGGACTGCACTGAAGTTGACGAACATCTCAGCACTATTCACTTAATCGTCTGAGAGCTTCCTGTTGTTGGTTGTCTGAAGAAGTCATTTGACTGTGGGAATAAGTCATTTGTCACAGGTATTCTCTGAGTTTGTATCACTGGCAGTTATTCCTACTTCTTGGCAGAAACATTCTGTCAATGATTGAATGAGCCTTCTTGCTCTTTTAAAGAAGACACCATTCTTCAACTACTCTACGGCCAGTTTTCCTTCTCATTAGCATCCTGGCTCTGGGGACGCCTGTCTTGGTAACACTTTCAGAAGTTAATGAAGCTATTCTGAAAACAATTAGACCTTCTGAAAACAAGAAGACCATTAAGTGCTTCTAATGGAAACAAAAGGTCTTGTTTTGATCCTCATTTTTACCTCAGAAGTAAAAGGTTTCCTTAGGTGAATTAAAATCTAAATGCATAAGGCAAAGACTGAAGGAACAATACATTGTGCACTTTAATTCTTCTAGAAAAGATAGCAGATATTAATTATATAGGTTTACAATTTAGTTGAGGCTTGTCATAATCTCATTTAACATTCATACGATGGGGGAATAAATGGAGACGTGTAACAAAAGAAAACAGACTGTATAACAAGAGATAAACAATATATCCCTTATTTGTTTGGGACTGAGGTGAAGCAAATAGAAATAATTACAGAAAAGAAGCTTCACAAAGTGTATGTATAATATATGTGTATACACATTTTCCCATAACACAGATTGGGACACAAAGGATAGTCTAGATTGAATACCATAGGAATCACTGCAGTTGCATTACTTAATTCAACATACCTTGATTTAGACTGTAAGAGTATCAGGGTCAATTTCATTTTCCTGGCTAAGCAAATTCAAAGATACTTAAAGTTTGTCCAGTGTCACTTTTTTTTAACCAGAAGCTTCTGTAAATGGAAGGATACATGTTAATACAGACAAATTATGCTATTGTATATTATCCAGAACTTCACTGCGAGTAGCATATAATGAAGACTACATCAGAAACAAAACAACATCAAAAAAAAAACCCCACGAACCAAAAGCATATCATTTCGAACATGGCACTTGTTACTCATTTTATAGGATATACTTACTGAGTTACTGAGATCTCTGGAAACACTGGTGTAAACTTTATGGAGTAAAAAACAAATTCTTTTCTGAGTTGTACGTGACAGATTAGCAAAAAAGTCATCAGTAAGTAGCAATGTAGAACTGACTTGATCATCTTGGTAGATCTCAACTTAAAAAAAAATAATGCCAAATTAGATTAACTTCACAAAATTAAGGTTGTGCATACTTACTCTTCTACTTCTTACCACTATTTGTTATGGTTTTAAAAGCACTACTCCTTCTTTTAAAAACAAAACAGATTAAAAACAAACAACCAAAAAAACAACTATTCTCCACTTAACTAAGTCATAACAAAGGGAAATTAGTAACTGACAGCAACAATAAAACAGAAAATCTATCAACACTTTTCTCTGGTACAAAGATAACAAGTAGAGAAAAATACCCCTCTCCTTCATCTTTTCTTAGATTGTAGCATCGTACACTTACCTAAGATGCCAGTAGAGATGTTTACATTTTCCTTTTTGGGTCAGAAGCACAATTGAATTCCAGGAGAAATGTGTATGAAATTCAACATGATTTAATCACAAAATATTCAGTTTATTGTCAGAAATTGACTTTGGCATAGAAGACAAACATTTCTGTTTAATAATTTATTTTCCTCTGAATTCTAAATGTTTTAGGTTTTCATGATGTTTTCTAATCACTTAAAGGCATGAATTTTAAGGTTTAAGATTTTTTTTTCCCCAGTTGTTATAGCCAGAAGGGCTGGGTTGGTTCGGTTTTTTTTTGTGCAGTAGGTTTTTTGTTTGTTTGTTTGTTTGTTTTTGTTACATGCACAGGAAATTCTCAATTAAAATTTAATTTAGTGTCCATAAGGGAGAGCGTATCTAATGGGGCTTCCATTTTACGCTCAAGAACTAGACACTTGTTTTTATAAAGATTATATCTCTGTCATTTCCTGTCTAAAACACCTTACCTACTACAAGAGATGTTGGGCAGTTGGTCCTTCAGTAGCCCTGTGTTCATTGTAGCGGCAGATGATAAGAAGAATCTCACAGACTGGGACTTGCTTCAGACTTCTAGTCTTGCTCTTTGTACTGATATCATTAACAATCATGCAGTTTCACATCTAGAAGTCAAGAATGAAGATTTATGAACAAAGAGTCCTAACCTTCTGTGTTGAAGTGCATCAGTTAACACAGTCCAGCCAGCCTCTGGTTCCCTGTGACAATATCCTAACTTCTATGCAAAAGTAGCTATTCCACTAACTCCACACAAAAGCAGCTAATGGATAACTTTCTTTTGTCCATGCATGTCCAAAATCTTGAGTGTGACACAGCAGCACCAGTCTTACCATGTATTTAAAATGTCCATTAATCAAAGGAGTGCCTGTGGAGGAATTTGGGCAGAGACACCTTTGTAGTTTTCAAGAATATTTTAGCCACTATTGAAGCTAGCAATTAATGCACTAATAAAGCAGTAAAGCATTTGTATGTCACTTGATGAACAAAGCACTGTCTTTTTTCTCAAAAGCGCTCATACTTGTTGACTTCATCTAGAACAATGAAGCAACTGTAAGAATGTAAAAAAGACTTCATTGGTCTCAACAGGAGATGAACTCCATGTACGCTCTTAGCTTGAATATTTATGGACCTTAAAACCCGTCCTTCCTTTCACATCAAATGATTATACTGGAAATAATTTTGTTCTCATAGAAACTCAGCTAATGTGTAAATTTTCAAGGCCTTACGAACAGACACAGTCTTACTGTGCTCAGTGATGTTTTGCTACTGTGAAAGTACTATAACCTGTCTAAATACATGCACTCTTATGCCTTTATCTCTTGTTCCAGTAAGGGAAAAAGAAAGAACAAGCTCAAACTCTTGTGTGATAATTCTACAGCTGTATAATTTAATGTAATGCACATTAGAGATAATCTCTACAGTATTTTTAAAAAACTTATGTAATCTCAAAATAGACATGTTCCTATAAAAAAAAAAAAAAAGTCTGGTTTGTATATTTTTCATTAATGTGACCGTTAAAGCTTTGAACCTTATACATGTTCATGTTTACAAAACATTTACTTGGCATTACCACATGTTTTACTTTTTAAAAAAATGTTAGGAGACCTCCTGTTCCAGAATCTGTGTAGCTTCTGGAGAAAGCTTCTTTCTGGCTAAATGAAATTTGAAATGTAAATGTTTGCAGCTTTTTTTCCTGTTTGTTTTGTTTAGCTATCCTGGGCTAAGGACCCTTCCGCATCAGCTGTTTACTCGATGCCCAAAGCAACTGCTCCTTCAAGTCTTCAAGGACAAAGTTGAATGAAGTGTTTTTATGATGAATTTTAAAAGATTACTCACTTATAAGCACAATAAAAAAACAAAAAACAAAAAACAAACAAAAAAAAAAAACACTTTCTCTTTATAGGTAGTTGCTCCCCCCACCCATCAGCTTTTGTAACCTGGTAGTAATCACTCTCAGCCAGAGTCTGACTAATGCTGACATGGGTTCAAACAACTGTTCTCCATTTTGTGTAGGACAGCAACCTGACAGGTGCAGAGCAATTTCAAATAAGACAGTTTGTTGCAGTATGAAGTTCCATCATTTGTCACATACGGTGACATGCTGGCTAATCCTATTAATCCATGCTGCTCTTAAAACCTAAGAATTTTTGTGGGTGCTGAGATTTCCGTGTTCTAATAGAAGACAAGAACTTTAAGAACCTGTAGAAATCATTCAGCAGGATCAGACTCTGACAATTCACAAATCTTTAGGACACAGCATGAGACTAAAAAATATGAATCTGCTCAAACTCCCAGTGATAGGCAGTAGACAATGTGGTTTTCTTAATAATGAAACCGTAATACAGTCTTGGTCCCTCCCCCATACATCCCCAGCAATTCTTTCATCGTGATTGTCGCTAAAGCAGTTGTAAACCTTCACGAGTGCAAAAAAAGATAAAGACGTTATTACATGATAGGTGATCCTTTTGCTTCTCTTAAGAGAATGGACAGAATAACTCACTGCAGTATAGCTCAATTCTGACTTCAATTTGCTCAAGAAAACTGTGGAGACCAACATGTGTATGTTATCATAGCTTCTCTGAAAATCATTCAGCTCTGAATTGATAGAGCAAGGAGAAATGGTCTCAAACTAAAAGAGGGGAGATTTAGATTAAATATAAAGTTTTTTTTCAGTAAGGATAGTGAGGTTCTGAAACAGGTTACCCAGAGCAGATGCTGGATCCCTGGAGACATTCAAAGACAGGCTGGAGGGGCTCTGAACTCCCTGATCCAGCTGTAGGTGCCCCTGCTCATCACATGGGAGTGGGACAGATGGCCATTCAAAATCCTTCTCAACTCAAACCATTCTATGAATTGTTTTTATTTTTTTTTTCCTAAAGGCTTTCCCAGTTGTCATCCTATGTCAATTTGTAGTCAGCAATGCTTATGTGATATCACTGACACGTTCAACTTCATGATTTACTATCTGATACCACTCCTGACTGGAGCATCGGGCAGTGAGCACGGCTGGCGGTAGAGCACTGTGGTTGATGGACCAAAGCCTTAATCGAGTCTGGCAAACAATATCTTCCCATGAATAATCTGCTTCTGAGTTCACGGTATTTTGGTAGAGTGTACTTACTGCAAAATGTAAGTTCAGAATCGATTACAGCATTTAAACAGTTGATGGAACAGGAGAAATTAGCATCTGTGGTATCCGCAACAGAACAACGTTCTGTTCTAAAAGAATTCTTCCTGGAATTCTGGAAAAAGAAAGCAATAAACACTGAACAGCATCCCTGTTATTCCTGCTTCTGATTACTTACATTGGTATCCAAAGCACGTGCCTACTTTCCTTCCTCTACCATCCTAGGAAGGGATCAATGTCTTCAAAACTGCGTTCACACTGGCTCCCCTGCTGGAATTTCTGTCCTGCTTGTGCTTCCCATAGCGCTTCAGACACCTCCCTCAGCAACGCACACACGATTTATCGCACGGGGAGAATTTAAACAAACAAACAAATAAATAAAAATACCGAACAGCGTTAAAGACAGCTCGGTGCCCCCCGGGCAGGGCACCTCCCGCGGCCGCGCTCCCCCCACTCACCGCTGAGGTGCGGAGCCGCCTTCCCCCTCTCCGCCCCTCCCGGCCAGGTGTAGCGGCCCAGAGGCGCCGCTCGGTGAAGGCGGGCGGTTCGCGGCTGCCAGTGGTTGGGCGCTCGTTGCCTGTCACAGGGCGGCGTGTCAGCGGGCTGGCTCCGCCTCGGCGCCGCGCCTCCTCCCGCCCATGCACAGACATGACACAGACACACAGTCACTGCAGCTGCTGCTGAGCCCGGGGCAGAGCGGCGGCGGCGGCGGCGAGCACCCCTCTGCCGGCACTGGAGCGCTGCCGGCGGTGGGCGGCGAGACCCGCAGGGGGCAGCGTGGCACCGGGCGGGGGAAAGCTGGCAGCGGGGAAGGGGCGGGAGGCAAGGAAGGAAGGAAGGAAGGAAGAAAGAAAGGGAAGGGGGCAGCCTGGCACTCCGAGCCGGAGGCGGCACCGGGCAGCGGCACGGAGCGAGCCCGGGCGGAGCGCGGCACCCAGCGGCCGCTGAGGCTGAGGCTGGGCCGGCGGCTGTAGAAGCGGGGCCGGGGGGAGCCGCTCCGCGCCCGGCTGCACGCTGCCGGTGACCTTCCCGGAGCTGCTCAGGCCGGGCAGGGCCTCGTCTCCCCGCGGAGATCGTGCGGCAGGCCCCGGGGAGAGAAGAGGAGAGGAGGCCGGGCCGGAATCTCCAGCCGCCCCCGGGTCTTGCCGGCCGTCGGCGGGGCCTGTGCGGGGAGAAGGGGCGGGAGACGGCGAGCGGGACGGTCGGGCGGCACCTCCCGACAGTGGGGAGGCCGTGAAGAGAGGAAAGGGAGGAGGAGGCAGCCCGAGGCGGCGCATCCCGGGAGGAGCGAGGAACTCCCCGTTGCCGTCCTCCTCTCCGCGCATCCCGCGGAGAGCGGGGACCGCCGGCTGGCATCTCCCGGCTGCGGGACCGGAGTTGGAGCTGCGCGCCGGGAGCGGGGAAGGAAGGAAGACGGGGAAGAGGCGCCGGGCGTCCCGCCGCCGTCCGGGGGAGGTGAGTGCGAGGCCGTGTCGGTGCTGGGGCCGGGGGAAGGCGAGGAGCCGTCGGTCAGTGCCCCTCTGCGGGCGAACCGGGAGCTGTGCCGGGAGGGAGTCCCGGCTGCGAGAGGCACCTGCGCGCCCCTCCGGAGTTTCTCCGGGACTCTGAGGGTTCCCCAGCCCCGGCTGCTGTCGTCCGGGCGGGCTGCTCTGTCACCTCGTATCCGAGCGTCACTTCGTTCGGATCGTTAAGCCTCGCTCGCCGGGGTTGGAGGTGACTTGAAGTTTGGAGGAGCCTTATGTAACACTTTTTGGAGAGGCTGTGCAACGTTTTGTTTTTAGAAAGCGAGCGGTTTCTTTGCAGAGCGGTCTTGATTCGCGTTCTCACCTGAGCGCAGCGTCCTCTGCTTTGTTCAACTTGGAACGCGGGGGTATTGCTGGAGATAGAGCCGAGTTTTTCCCAATGTGCGTTAAGAAAAAAATTAGCCTAGGGAGGCATCTGGGCAGTGGTAACCGGATCTAAACCTTTTAGTGTACGTATAGCCTATCTGCACAACACTTTTGTTGCACTCTTAAATTAATCACAGGAACGTTTCCACGGCACTGGTTGTCATTGATGTATTCTGGGAGGTACAGGCACCGGGATAGAAAAACTGATGAATCCGAAGTCCTGGACTTTTTTTTTAAAATGAGGTTTTACTGATAGAAGGAAGAAAAAGCACTGGGCTAAACAGACTGCTGTGTTAAAACCAGACTTGCCAATTGCCAACAGGTCAGCATGTTTTATTTAATGAAATGTTCTGGATGCAGAGTAATTTTCTTTGTATAGCATTATTTTACTTGCTCAGAAGCAGCAGAGAAATGAGAAAAATGAATTGAAAGGTTGCCTAATTTCCCTGCAGTTCTGTAAGTGGCTGTCTTTCCAGCAAATAATAATAATAAAAAAAAGGTGAGCTTTTTACTTCACATGAAAAGGCAGGGAAGTGATTTGCTACATATTCTTTTGACTCCTACTGCAAAGGTACGCTAGGGGGACTAGTTAGTGTGGGTTTTGTTCCCATTCATTGGTGAAAATACACCTATGAAGTGAAGACTTCTTGCCTTCTATTGCTTCATCATTAGGCTGTAAGCTTAAAGGAAAAATCATACGTGTAAATGTGAAGGCTGAGTTTAGAGCAAGAGAGAATACTTCAACAAAATCATTTCGCTTTGTTTTGCATTCCCTGCTGTAAGCAAAGATAAGTTATCAAAGGCAGGTTTACTTAGAAGAACAAAACAAGAAAAAAATACCCCCACAAACTTTCTGTCTCTGTTGCAGTTTTTGTTTTGTTATTTTAAATGGAGAGATGACTGAGGTGGAACAGGTCTCCTTGGGCTTCTTGAGAAATGCAAGTTTCTGGTAAATATTACAAGTTTGAAATGTGAAATTCCTATTGCTTAGGTGTCCTGTAACAGCTCCTGATCAGCAAGGCTGCAAGTCATGTAGAAGCTGCAGGATCAGCAGAGTCTCTGATGGATAACTGGACTGGTAGGTTCTTTGTGTTTCTTCTTTCCTTTAATTGCCCACTGTGGTACCGGATTCCTTTTCTTCATTCCATTGATGTTTAATTCCTGCAATTTTTGACTTATATTCTGTATTGCTTCTTTTCTGTTTAAAGTGCATGCTCTCTTTTCAGTTGCCTGGTAAGGAAGCTTGGATATATTTGCATGGCAGTATGTAGCAAGATTCACTTTTTAGTATTAGATATATTAATTTAAGCTTTTTCTTTAGCATTCAACTGTTGTGAAAATATAAGGGTTTTCTTTCAGGTCTGGAGAAAATTGCACTGAGTTTTTCTTTAAAGGAGCACTCAAAATACTGTTACTCACGGATGTGTTGGATTCTGTATGCCAGCTATTCAGTCTGCTGTAATTCTAAAGCACGGTCCCTCAAAAAGCCAAACTGCACAGCAGTTGTGAATAATTGTTTGTCGTGTGACAACATTGACATCTGTCACAGTCTTGATCTGCTAAAATTTCAGAGTGTAGGTCTTAATATTAGCAAAAGCAATATTTCTCCTGAATGAATTATGTTAGGAACTTGCTAGACTTGGCATTTCTCATGTATACCTCTATTGCTAAATGGAAGTGTTCTTTAATATGGTTTTAAAGGAACGAAAGTCCAAAGTATTTTTTTTTTGTTTGACTATTTCTTGCTGAAATGTTTATTTCCTTAGTTTTAGCTGGACTAAATGATTGGTTGTCAGTAGACCCTTAATGGAATATAATACCCTCTCGTTCTCTGATTTTTTGTGTATGTGTCTGCCTTGTAAGGAGTAATCCTAAACACGCACAAAAAATCCAAGCTATTTTGCCAGATGATTTTAAACTGAAGGCTAATCTATAATGTGATGTAGCAGAAATGCTAAGTCATGGCCCGAAACAGTGATTGAGCACCTGGTGGGAAGGCAGGGCCAACCCAGGGGAGCTCAGCTGCATGCAGTGCACCTGAGTGACCGGAATGTGTGAGGCCAGGATCCATCCCTTCCCAGACCTCATTTAAGGGTTGGCAGTGGAGGTGACGGTATCTTATTGGAGATCCCTGCTTACCTGAGGCATCCCAAGGGTAAGCCGCTTCTTTCCTTTATTTCTGTGCCCACAGTTGTTGCACTTGAGCAAATCCTCACTTGCTGCAGTCTGGGGCTTTGCTGTCATTGCTGTGCTTTCCATCATATTACACCTGACTGTGAATTCTTGGTTGCCTGTGCTGATCTCAATCCACATGTGAACTCTGAAGGGAGTTGTTTGTCTGGATCCAGTATGGCATATGGACCTTCTCCTTTTTATTTTATTCTGCCCAGGCACCTGGGTTTGTGTGAAGGCCTCTGTTACTGAGCCCTTGCTGGCTTTGATTAAAGACCTTTCACGAACTGCGTTAGAATTAATTTAAAAGTAGACGTTATAAGGATATGAGATTTGCTGTGTCTGCTTTTTCCTTTCACCTATGTGTGCTGACAACATCAGCACAAAGTACTTGAGATGAGGACATAATGGCCAATGCAGATTTACATTTGGTCATGTATGAGTTTATCTACACAGAGTTATGTTATTTTCCTAATTCTGTTGGCTCGAGAACTTTCTGAACACTAGTCTTGCGCATACATTCAGAAACACATGCAGTACTTTTACCCCGTTAATAGTCTGTTTTTGACCCTTTTTTTTTTTTTTTTTTTTTTGTGGTGAATGCTAGCTTTAAAAATCAGTCACTTTTTTGTTATTTCCCACTTGGTGTAATTTATGAGCTGGAGAGTCAGAACTACCACAAGGGAAAGGAATTTTATTCTTCCTTTTTTGCTTTTTCCATTTGATTGCTTTTTTTTTTGTTTGTTTGTTTTAGTCTTCCTTCAGATTCTCCTTGTGTCCCTTCCCACTCCTACCTGGGGATAAGGGCTAAGAAATGAGCATTGTACTTCATAGGAGTTCATGACTCCTTTTGGCAAGACTTGGCTTAGCATTTGGAAGTCTGTCGTCTGCTGTCAAAGCTCATTCAATGCATGGTTGTGAAAGGAGAGTAACAGTTAGCAAACTATATTTTACAGGGAACTTGGTGGCTCAGAAATCAAAGAGAAATTTGATGGAAGGGATTATCCTGGCTTTGGCAATGACTTTGAAGCAAAACTGCCAAGTCTGGAATCCTTGTGTAAGTGCCATCTGTGTCAGAATTAGAAGCAAACAGTGTAAAATAGTTCCTTTACCTGTTTTAATTTGCAGACCTGACCGTATCTGATCTAACACTACTTAATTTCCAAATAACTGTTCTTTCTAGAATGTAGGTGCTATTTCCACAGCAATTGAGTTAACTGGGTAGAAGCTGCACTTTAAATTGACAAGAGGAGCTACAGCAACGTCTGTTTAGTGCAATAGGAAAAATCCAGACCTAATCACGTAGCCTGGTGGAAGCTGAAAATCTGAGGTAGTGCAGGAAGAGTGCAGTCTGTCTTGCCAACTTCTGTGTAAGGTAGATATGCT